CTGTAGGTTCTCTTTTTACTCTTTTGGCAGTGTAATTATTTACAAGTATGAATTTGTTGCTGTCATTTTGTTATGTACTTTTTTGTGTGGTGTTGCTGATTTCTTTGTTCCATATAATTTTCTGTGCTGAGCTCATTTTGTTGGTAAATCATATTATCACTTCCTTCTTTGCTATTGCTTTAGTATTTGCTAAATACTTGTGCTGGTCCTCTTTTTTATTTTAATGTGAAGGTTTATCATTTTCTTTGCAGTTATGCTGTGATTTATAATTTTCTTCCCAAGTTTAGAACAGTCTGTTCTATCTTGCAGTGGTCCTGACTTCCCTACCATGGAGAAGTTCTGTAACTATACAATTTTTTCCCTCTTTTTGATTTGTAGTTGTCCTCATTAGGCAATTGATGTCTCTGGTTCCCTGTTTACAATCTTCTAGGCTTATTTACTTTGGATATTTCCATAACTGGGTTGCTTTCTGGGTTATGTCATCATGTGTGTTAATAGTCATTTGTTTGCTGTTGTTGGTTCTCTGTCCTTCAGCATCTTTTGTAAGGTTGGTCTAGTTTTAACAAATTCCCTTAATTTCTGCTTATCTGGAAATGTCCTAATTTCAGCATCATATTTGAGGGACAATTTTGCTGGATATATAATTCTTGGTTGGAAATTTTTTCTTTCGGTGTTTTATATATACCATCCCATTGCCTTCTTGCCTGCATGGTTTCTGCTGAGAAATCTGAGCTTAGTCTTATTGGTTGCCCCTTGTAGGTAATCTTTCATTTTTCCTATGCTGCTTTCAGTAGTTTTTCTTTGTCTTTGGTTTTGGTGAGTTTGATGAGGAAAAGTCTTGGTTTTCTTTTGCTGTCTATTCTATTTAGTGTTTGTTGGACTTCTTGAATGGATATATTCTCACTTTCATCATACCAGGGAAATTCTCTTCCAATTGTCTTCTTTGACAATTTTCTCTGGTTTTATTTGTCTCTTCCTGTTCTGGAATTCTGATTACATGTAGGTTTTTCCTTTTGATGGTATCCCACATGATCTTTAGGCTTTCTTAATTTTGTTTTGATCTTTTTTCTGATTGATCCCTTTCCATAAAAGTATTGAGGTATTTGTCTAATTCTGTCTTCAATTGATTCAATTGTGCTCCTTTGCTTGTTCAGTGTGTTAGCTATTTCTGAATATTTAGTGTTAATCATCTGGATTTTTATCTGTAGATTTTGTATCATTTCTAATTTTTCATTTATTTTTGTCATTTTGTTCAGGTACTGTCTTTTGAAATTGTTCTAGGGTTTTCTCTGTGTTTTCCTCAATTTTGTTAGAGTTTTCCTTGATCTCTCAATCTGTTGAAGGTACCTAAATATAATTCTTTTGAATTCCCTATCAGGGAGTTCCAATGCTGCTTCTTCCTCAGAGATGTGTTCTGGGTCTGTAACCTGGTCCCTTGTTTCTCCTACTTTATCTTGCTTCTTTGTGTGCACTATGATGGTTTGTTGTCTCTGAGACAATGTGGCATTTTTGTGTTTATATTTAATTGGTGATTGTATGTTGGAGTGACTTACCCAAAATTTTTGCTTTCTTTGGATGTTATCTACATAAGCAGTGTACTGTGCTTCTCTATTCATAGTTGGCAGCACTTATATACTCACCACCTGTCTCCTTTCCTGTTGTCAGCCTCCTGTATGTCCCTGCCATCCTTGGCAAACAAAGCCTATTCTTACGTCCCTGGAATCTGAATGAGAATGCTGTCACTTTAAATATCCAAAATGGCCACCGCTTGTAAATTCAAATTGGCTGCATCCTCAGTCACTTTAAATATCCAAAATGCCCACTGCTTGTAAACAATCAAAATGGCTGTGCCCTCTGGACAGCTGAAAGTCCACAGCCCAGTTCGTCTCCCTCTTTGCAGTTTCCCTTCCTAGTCACAGGCTACCAGCACAGTTGTCCCTGCTGCCCTTGGTGACGAGGGCTGATCTTTAGGTCCCTTCTCAGGTCCCAACACCACTTGTAAATATTCAGGCTGTTGGTGCTGTCAGAGTAACTGTCAGTGTGCAGCTCCATCCATCTCCATACTCACAGTTTTCATTCAGGTTTTTCCACTAGTTGGTGCCTAATCTACTTCTCTGTACTTCCTTTACAAGCTCAGGGCTCCATGATTATCTTCTGTATCTCTGTCAATTGATTTCTGTTTTCTTTGTTGAAGAGGGTCTGTGCAGCTTGTAGCTTGTCTTCTGTCTATTCCACCTTCTTTTTTTTCTTTTTTTAGTGGTATACAAGTTTCTACAGTGATACAAGGCAAGGAGTACCACTGTGGAAGGTTGGGTAGCTGCTAGGACATTTTGGAGTCAGTATCCATATGATGAAGTAGTCAAGATCCAGGATCTGCCTTTCAACTTAGTAAGTTAAGAGACTTGATCTTGTCAGTCTTCTGGAGTTCACAGTCCTCTGGAGTTATTCAGTTACAGTGAATAAACTGACAAGAGAAATAAAACATTAGCATAAGTGCTAACTTATTACTCTTCAATGAAAAATATAACTGCCAGCACAACTAGACTCTCAATTCCTTGAAGCTGTGAATTTCTTCCTGCTATATGAGAAGGCTTAGCTCCAGTAGCGTAGTACCTAACCAGATGGCTGGCAGTTCAAACCCATTAATCACTCCTTGGAAGGAAGATTGGGCAATCTACTACCATAAAGATACTGCCTTGGAAACCCAAGGAGGAGTCGCTATGAGTCAACTTGATGGAATTGAGTTTGGTGTTTTTTTTTTTTTTGTACTATAATTAGAAAGCTGTTGTTGAACTTGGGATCAGTATAGAAGACATGTTATACGATTTCTATGTTAAATGCCAACAAGTTAAGAAAGACCTTCACCAATTTTCATCACAAAGATACATCAGCATCCAGGATATGACTGGCCATATGTTTTGGCGTGGACTCCCTCTTGGATCAGCATTTCACATACTAGCATCTCTGACTTTCCTTTTCCATGCCTTCATATAAAACTCTCCCTTTTTGACTGCTACATACCATCTTCAGATCAGTTAATCTACTTGAAAACCATTCTGCTTTTTAAAGTATATTTGCTCAGCTCTAATCTTATCCATTACATATTGATCTAGAGTTTAAATCTCAGGGGCAATCTTATTTCTAACTTTTTGGGAAAGAATCTCAAGGGCTCTAATTCACAGATTACAATTTGTTAATAAGTCTTCTTTACGTTAACAATAAGAAGATTAACTACTATTAACTAGAAGCTTTGTTCATTGTATTTCAGAATGCATCCTCTTTAGCAAGACAGAGGAACTACAGAAGTTTGCCTGACATTTTACCATTTCTGCACAACCTCAATCTCCAAACATGAAAAGATATTTGAGCTTTACTATTAGTCATTGGCTTTTAAAGGATTTTTACTTTATTTTGTGATCACATTCTCCATTCCATGAATGCCAATAATGTACAAAACAAGGTATAAGACTCAGAAAGAAAAAGATTCTGACATATTTGTGTCACAATCCAAGTTAACAGGTCATATCACAACATGGGAAAAGGCTATATGGGAATACTTAATAATGGCGGGGTTGGGGGAACTTCATGCAAAGAAAAGTCAAAACCAACTCAATATTAATTTGCTCATTAAAGCAGACACTTAAATTTGTCACATATAAACCAAAAAACCAAACTCACTGCTATTGAGTGAGATCCAACTCATAGTGACCCCTCCTTGGGTTTCTGAGGCGGTAACACTAGGGAAGTAGATTGGCCAACCTTCCCTCTGAGAAGTGGCTGGTGGGTTTAAACTGCCAGCCTTCTGGTTCACAGTCAAATGCCTTAGGCACTACCACACATATAGGACCTTCTAATATATCTGAAGAAATTTTAGAAAACCAATTTATTTCACTAGAAATGTTAATATAGATCAAGAATTGCAGATTAGCAACAGTTATAGAAAAATGGGCTTATTTACATATAAGAAAGTCTAACTTTCTTCTAAGAGGCAAGTTTCCCAAAGGTAGCAGTGACGATGCATAATTTTTTGGGGAAGGGGATGATAGGGAGAAAAGCATGATTAAACTTTTTAGGTACAGGTTGTTCAGTACCAGTCAGTGTTCACAATAAAGAAACAGATATTATTCTAAGCTTTTAAAATTAATTTAAATTAAAAGGAATTATTCCTATAAACCCAAACCCAAACCCACTGTTGACAAGCCAATTCTAACTCAGCTATCCTACAGGACAGAGTAGAAATGCCTGTAGGGTTTTCAAGGATGTAAATCTTTATGAAAGCAGACTGCCTCATCTTTCTTCTGCAGAGCAGCTGGTGGGGTTGAAACCCTGACTTTTTGATTAACTAAGCTCTTAACCTTTGTACTGGCAGAGCTTCTATTGTTTCCACAGTCTCCTAGAATGTGAACCTCTTTGTTTATTCAACATATATGTACCTATGTGAATAATGGAGAATAATTGTTAGTATTTCCAAGGTGGTGAGGAATAAAGAAGAGGTATAAAAGCTGCCCTATACACAGTGCTGTGTTCAACAGTACCATGTTGTATTTTGTCTGGAGTAGGTACAACCAAAAAAAACTGGACAAGAAACAGGACAGATAATACAAGGGTTGACCTTTAGGATTTTGTCTTTTATGGAACATTCTAAAAGCATATACATTAGATATACATCTTTTTTTGTTTCTGACAAGAGGCATAGTTGTGCCTGTCTGTATAAAACGGAACCAGTGTTTCAGGATCGTATTTATTAATATTGTCAGTAGTCTAAAGTCCCACATTGTATCAGTAAAAGAGATAATCAGTATGAAATTTATGCTCCTCACTATTTTTGTATAAAGACAGCAATGGATTTTCTTTTATTTGAGTATTTATATACTGTTTATTTTAGAATCACAAATCCAGAGAAAACGAAATTCTACAATGAGCAGCAGAGAAACCTGATTTGTTACCTATGGTAGTGTCAGCTATGGGTATGGGATGAGAGTTCTGCAATGTTAACTCACCTGTCACCATCCATCCTCATGTCCAAGGGGCCATCCTTCCTAAGGGAAAAACCTCTTTCAGGAGCATCAAGTTGCATGGAGGAACACCCAAGATCCAAAAGAACTCCATCCAAAGTCCCTGGCTGCACTCCAGCTTTTATTAATAAGGCTTCTGCCTGGCTGAACTGGCCCAGTACAGCTTGGATCTGTTTACTGTGAAGAGATGGAGAAAGCACGTCAGTTATAAAAGTCTTTCATAAAGTCTATCATCAATGGAAAGGAGCACATCTTATTTTCAGATGCTTTGACTAAAATACATTCACTGAGTGCCAACAACATGTTTAGCACTATATAAAGACATATGGTTATAGAAACTGTACATCTTTGGTTTTAAACATCAGAAGTGATTTAATGTAATTTTATTCTTGCTAATAAGGAGCTTATTTTATATCTTTGTGAAGGTATATGATAATTTCATAAAGTGGAAAAATTCCTTTGTCAGATCAAGGCTTTCAATTTTTCTATAAAAATAATTTTTTGAATCTTTAAGTAGGCAAAAGAAGCACATGCCATTCTATCAAAAGAACCAATTTACATGTTGTTGTTGTTGTTGTTGTTGTTAGGTGCTGTTGATTTAGCTCCGATTCATAGTGACCCTGTGTACAACAGAATGAAACACTCCCTGGTCCTGCACCAGCCTCACAATCCTTGCTAAACCTGAGTCCATCATCGCAGTCACTGTGTCAATCCATCTTGTTGAGGGCCTTCCTCTTTTTCCCTGACCCTCCACTTTACCAAGCATGACATCCTTCTCCAGGAAATGATCCCTTCTGACAACATGACCAAAATAGGTGAGATGAAGTCTGGCTGTTCTTGCTTCCAAGGAGCATTCTGGGTGTACTTTTTCCAGGACAGATTTGTTAGTTCTTCTGGCAGTCCATGGTACTTTCAGAATTCTTTGCCAATACCACAACTCAAAAGCATCAACTCGTCTTCAGGCTTCCTTATTCATTGGCCAGTTTCCACATGCATAAGACATCATTGAAAACACCTTAGTCTACAAAGAGACATCTTTGCTCTTCAGCACTTTAAAAAGGTCTTTTGCAGCAGATTTCTGTTTCAAAATTACTGACCACTCATACACATTTACTTCTCCTCCACCCTATTAACCCCATTAAAATGATTGGAGAAGTAGAAAAGTTAGAAAAAATACACAGCAATGCCAGGAAACTGCCTAGATGTAATCAGCAGACCAGAATTTTCAATACTACAGCAGATAGAATCAGATTGATTGGGGTGTAGAAGGAACAGTACTGAAGAACTTATAATAATAATAAAAGCTAAAGATGCAAACTCTGAAAAAGTGAGTTTTCTCAACAGAATCTAAGAAATAAGGAAGAAGGTGGTGGGATTAAAAGACTGTGCAAGAGTTCTCCTTGGGATGATAAAACAAATCTAGTTACTCAAATTGGTTACTCTGAAACTTTTTTTATAAATAAAAAGAGATAATAGTAATAATAATAATAATAATAAAGGCAGCTTAAAATAAAGATACCACACTGTACAAAAAAGATGAAGAATTAATATAGGAAACAGAAGAGACTTTTACATATGAGAGAACAAAATCTCCATAAAATAACAGGTTATAATCAAAATAAACAACTAGTGTTTAAAATTTTAAAAGTATACATTTTGTAGCCTTTTAACCTACATATCATCTATCTACTAGTAAGGAAAAACTCTTTAGAAAGCTAAATAAAACAAAAAAACAAACCTACTGCCAGAGTTGAATACAACTCATATCAACCACCATGGGAATGAGAGTTCCAAGGCTGTAAATCCTTACAGAAGCAGACTGCCTCATCTTTCTCCCGCAGAGAGGTTGGGGGGTTCAAGCTGCTGACCTTTTGGTCAGCAGTCCAATGCCTTAACCACTGGAGCTCCTTAGATATCGCTAAATAACACCACAGAAATGGCAGAATGATGAATTAATGGTTTGCAGGATTAAGCTGGAGATTACCCTAGACAATAGCATTAAAA